AATTAGTATAATGGTTTGAGCCAGGTGTACGACCCAATGAGCAGTTTAGATAAATTGGAAAAAGGTATTTTCTAAATACCATCAGGACATTTTGGATTTCAGAAGGAATAGACGTTAATATAGGTGGGTTTTGTTTGGTTGTTTGTTTTTTTGCAACCATTATAAACTGCAACTTGGGTATTGTTTCAATTATTTACACAAGTATGTGCAAGTATATTGAAAATGTAAGTTAAAGGGTAATTTTCATTATCATTATAAGGAATCTATTGTGTAGAGGATTGCATCATTAGCATTGAACAATAAGCACATGAGATAGAGGGATAATCATGTAAAATTTTAGTTTGAAATTTTGTTAAAAGTTTTTGGAGGGCAGGTCGTTGAGAAATAGAAATACTCTCAAAGTATGAAGAAGAAAGACTATTTGATATCAAATGATTATTGTCAGAAGTTGATGCATTTGATAAGTTTTGATTTATTTTATTTCTAAAAAAGTATAATTTGAATATATTTGTATTTTCTGAATCATTATGTAATCCTTGTTCGCGTTGAGCATTAGAAACAAAAGTAATAGGCAGAAATGTTTGAATTTGATAATTAGGCATAATGGTAACCAAGTTTAGTATAGGAATAGAGGTAAGAGAAATTTTATTGAGGAAATAAAGAAACGATTTGACTTATTTATATGTAATATATTATTATGAATTAATTTAGTTTTAGAATTTAATATTGTATAATTTTTATTAGTGCTATGAATATAAAAATGAGGTTTACGAGCGGCATAAGTTTACTTGTGTATCAGATAAGTTTATTAATTTTTTTTTTTAATGAGAATTTTAAGTGCATTTTAATTAAATTATTGCAAAATCAAATCATTGTATAATCAAAGTAAGAATAATATAAGTGATTTATCAAGGGCATTAAGATTTATTTAATATGAATTAGCTATTTCGTTTCTACAGATAGCAAAAGAAAATTATTTGTTAGTTATTTTCTTATTACTTTAATAAGAAAAAAGGATGATACTATGCAAAAATACCATTCCTGATAGATCATTGGTACTGTTCTTGATAGAGTAGAAAAAAAAATTAATTTATACACTGTTCTTGATGGAGTTTTAAAAGAGTCTCTAAAACACTATATTACTATAGTGAAATATTTGAAAAAGTTTTGAATTAGGATTCAATTTTAGAATAATATTAGGAACAGTAATTAAATAAATTTTTTTTTTAACTCTATCCAGATTGGTATTGCTGATTCATCAAGAATAGTAATTTTGCTAATAGTAATGTTATCTGTAATAATTAGAATAGTTATGTATAAAAATTAACTTTTACAAGGTAACTATACGTATAATAAAAATTTCGTAAAGTTTTGTGTGGCAATTTGAATTTGTACTGGTTAAGAATATTATTTTACTAAATAATTATAGGTAAATTTTGAGTGCGTGCAAGTTTATGATATATGGTAATAATTTTATTGTGAAAGAATAGGTCGCATATTACAACTAAGGTAAATTATTTCTATAAAATTAATTTTATTTAATAGAAAATAAAAGTATTGCGAAACTTATAATAAATTGATTTAATTTTTATCAGGAGATTCTTCATAATTTTGTTAAGCATTAGTTTGATCTGTTCGGATTTGTGTCACAAGTTGTTCAAGGTTGACAGCTTGTGGTGTGTTATTCGGAGGTTTTGTAGGTGAAGAGAAGAAACTGCCTCTTTTTCTTTTATTGGGTGGTTGTGAGCTCATTGTTGTATATTGTTCTTTAATCATATCAAGCTGATTATTATATTCTTTATTAGATGTAGCATTAGATGAGCAGGATGATGATTTTGGTTCATTAGCGGTGTAGCTCTATTTGATTTCTGATAAAATAATGTGTAAGAGTTTACTATTAGGACTAAGTTTCAATCTTCCAATAGCAGAAATGATGCTTTTCTTTAGGCTTTCTTTGAGTAAATCATAGTGAACATTTGCATTTGTATAAGATATAATTACATTTGATTCTATGCTTTTCTGACTGTTTGTAGGATTATAGAGCTTTTGAGATAATATAAAACTCTGTCTTCCAATACTGTTATTTAATTTATAGGAGTTTGTTACAGCAGAGGTGGTGTAGATTAATAGAAGAAAGGCATAAAAAAGGTTTTCAGGGAACAGGTAGAAGAAATTGGTATAGTTTGAATAAGACTAAGCTTTTAAAGAGAAGTAGGGTTAGATTTGAATAGTGAAGTGAGGATAATATGTTTCTGTTAATAGAAATCAAAGAGATTGACATTTTAAAAAAAATTAATATCTTAAGTTTTAATACTTATATGTTTCCGAATTCGAAGCTATTTTCATAATTTAATAGAATAGCTTAGAAATTCATTAAGATAGAAGCAACGAAGTTACGGCATTAATCTTTTTAAAATATGAATATATTTGATTTTTATTAATATCAGCCCAAATATTCAAGAGAAGTAAAATACATATTTAATATTTTCCTGATAAATGTATCTTTCGATCATTTGTATGATAGAGTTTTTTCGAAATCAATTATTAGAGAATCAACATTGCTAGTAAAGCCTTTGTAGGTAAGTTCTCTAAATTCATTATCTTCATCATTAATATGATAGAGGGCAGTTCCATTTACAAAATGTTTCTTTACAATGTAATTCTATGAGTAGTTCTTCTGAAGAAACTTTTACTTCACTTAAAACATTAGAAGATATTTGTAATGAAGTTACAAAATGATCTAATTTAAAAAAAGAATTACAAGAATCTATATCAAATATTCAAACACTTAAATATTCATACTGAATATTTAAAACTTCATGATAATTATTTTATAATTAAAAGTCCAGCTACAGATCTTGAAATTGATAAATTATTTGATGTAAATATAAATAAATTTATTATAGTTTTTAAATTACTATAATTAGCAAATTTTATATATTATATATTATATAAAAATTTAATAATTATAATAATTTAAAGTACAATCAATATTAAATTTTTATTTAATTATATTAATATTTATTAATTTTTATTTGTAGAATATTTTAACAATTGATTCTACTTTTACAAAATTTATAACTACAAAGAATGCTCTTAAAAAATGACAAATTTATCAAGATTTTCT